CTCAGTCACCTAAGACTCACCTTCTAAAAAAATCCCATGAGAATATCCGCTTGGTTCCGCAACTAGACATCCATGACCTGAAGTTCAACTGTGATTTTATTATTTTATGTTCACCTTGGTGGAACATATTCACATAACTTTCATACTTTGGACAGGACATTTCTATAACTGTATCATAACCTTGATTTCAAATGTGCTTTCTAGAGATCTCATGCATAATCTTAAATGTTAATGGTGTATAGTAAATCAGGGTGTTACCTGTGCCTGAAGTCTCGGGTACTTTGATTTTCATTTGTTTGCTCTGTGCAGCCAATGATTTTTAATATTTAATTCTCCAGGCTAAAATGATGTTGTTTCTCACTACAACTCAGCTGTGGGCAGAATATAATTTGCATAAGAAGTACTGAGGTTTATTTTTTCTATGACCCTTGCACTCATCAGTTTGTTGACACTGAACTTATTTGCCATGTTAGTTTGTTTGCACTTTTGTGTAGTCTTAAGCAGGATGGTACTTGGTAGCATCTGGAGGCCGTACTTTGTCAGGCCAACTTAATGTGGCTGCGCAATCCTAACTGACCTATGCATTAAATATTAATATTGCACATTGCTGGCCTCATCACCACCTTATCTAATTATTCTGCACACTAGCTATATCCTCTTCTTTTGTGCTGCCCAATGTCATCTGCCTACTACCAGCTTTACTATTATTGTTCCCTGTCATTTGTCTGCTTATTCTCTCTTTGTATCCACCTTCACTACGTGTGGGACTCAGCTCCACATGATGTTGTCTCACAACGATTTCTAGAAATGTGTCAGTTCCTTTCTCATTAGCCTGAATCTGTACAACTCTCCCACACTTCATACTTTCTTCATCTGATTGCTGTAAACAATAATGAAGTTTGATGTGTGTGTGTGTGTGTGTGTGTGTGTGTGTGTGTGTGTGTGTGTGTGTGTGTGTGTGTGTGTGTGTGTGTGGTAGTGTGTGTGTGTGTGTGTGTGTGTGTGTGGTGTGTGTGTGTGTTGGTGTGTGTGTGTGTGTGTGTTGTGTGTGTGTGTTGTGTGTGTGTGTTGTGACTATATAAAAGTGAGATGCCTTTTTTTGGTGGTTTATTATTTAATGGAATGCCGGCTTAAGAGTAAAGATATATTTTGAGGGGCCTTTGTGCATGTTCACATGACCATTTGTGTGTGTATGTGCGCTGTGTGCATGCGTCTGGGTGTAGTTGAAACTTTACATGAAGTTCACTTATTTGTATAATTGATGCACAATGTCATCAGTAAATCTCTAGGTACGGTATGTGGGCTAAAATGTGGAAATACGTTTGTGTGTGTGCGTGTGCGTGCGTTTGTGTGTGCGTGCGCGTGTGTGTGTGTGTGTGTGTGGTATTTGTGCATTATTCATATGTGAGCTTCATGGTGGACTTGTTGTGATTTGATGAGAAGATGCAGGTCTGTGTCAACGTCTCTTTTTATCCTTTATAATTCAGCAACCAGCAGTAACTATCGTCGCCCCCCTCCACTTCTCAGTCTTCTTAAAAGACTCATTCTGAATTCCCCACTTGCCCTCCATCCTTTCCTCTCATCTGCTCTTACATCATCTCCTCTGCTCCTCAGATTGAGGAGGTATTCAAAAGGAAGTGTGTGAAAAAGTCCACTGTGAGAGCTTAAATAATATATTTATTAATAATAACGGTGTAAATGTTAAAAGCATGTTATGAGTGTGTATGACATGTAGTACCACCTTCTGCAACAACTTCGTCTTGTCAGCACCTCAGTGTATGTTATTTGTTACAATCTCACTTTTTAATTGGCTGTTTTTTTGTTGAGCACCATTTTGGGTTATTAGTAACTGTTTATGATGTACAGTACCCTCGCTTTTTACCACCTGATGTGACTCCTCAGTGGACACTTGTAGTTGAAGACAAGATAATGTATGTTTGTATTAGGCTTACTTTATTGATATAAAAATCGATGTTGGTATTCATTTAATTTGTAAAATCCCCACAGTGGAAGAAAAATGTGTGTTTTGTCTAACTAGCAATCCCAAACCCAAGGCAGCAGTAAAGAGCAACACACCATCATATTCATGAAGCAGCAAATGTTTGGCATTTTTGCTTGATCAATGAATCCAGCTTATTATATAGTAGCCGCATAATCATACAAGTTTTAAACAAACCTTCAGGTGAAACATACTGTGAAGAGAAAAATAAGGAGAATGGCAAAAATAGTTACCCAAAATGTCTTAAGATGTACTGTAAATATCCTGTATATCCTAAGTCTATGATGCTTAGTCCTATCATTATGCCCTGCGTCGGTATAAGGATGTTGCATTATAATTGCACTCTGATCCCATGACAGGCAACACTTTGTCCAGCCTTGACCTAATGTACATTTAATAAGGTGACTTTAAATACCCTTACCTCAGCAAAGAGCAGATCCCAGCGGCTTGGCTTAATATCTACATTGTCTTTGTGAGTTGTACCTTTAGTAGCTTCTCCATCTGCTTTATAGAAAGCTGATTCTGTAGTTATGACAAATATACTATGTCAGAAAAACTGTTACACACTATTCTCTGACCTAATGCACTATTACAACTGTCCTTGAATTTAAGCCATACAAAAAAATTAGATAAGAGTACGTTATATACTGACCTAGCCTTATATTTTGTATAATAGCCTATACTTACTTTGTATTAAAAGCTTTTTTTTTCCTATAGATATTGCTATATCAGTAGTCCAGACATCATCAATGTGCACTCACTCTCGGTTTTTACCTCTTAAAAGTGGTCTATATAATCTAATACATGTTGTCCTTTTGTATGTAACTTTAATGGGAATACAGTTTTGTATCCTGATAATGTAATCTTGTTACATGTAATCTGACACTTCCCGATCTTCATTGGAATTTTCCTTAAAAAAATCAACAGTTAGTTTTGTTGGTTGGACTCTTGCATGGGAGTTGGTGTGGATGCATGTTTGTATCTGTGCTTGTGTGTTGTATCTGCATACAACTGACGACATGCCTGTTGCCACACAGAGGATAAATGTTTCCCTTCTGAGTAAAATATAAAGCCACACACACACACACACCGATGGAAACAGTGAGATAGATATTTTTGAAGAACAATTTCCTCCTCTCTTTTCTGCAGCGGTGGAGAGGGGGAGGAGTTCAATCTCTGCGGGGGCTTTATGTGTGTGATGGCCTGAGCTGTGAGCTTTTTGTTAAACTGAGGGACACTAAAGGCACACTATGGTTTTATACCACACACCAACAACATGCACATACTCTTACACACACATGAAGGTGGAGGTGGTGGGGGCAGAGACAGGAGCTGACAGCTGATTCTCCATGTGTGTTTCTGTGGGCTTTGAAGTTTAATGTGTCACACTCTTTGATGCCCTCTGTAGAGGGGTGTCAGAGCATGTCAGAGCATGTCAGTGGGTGTGTGTGTGTGTGTGTGGTGTGTGTGTGTGTGTGTGTGTGTGTGTGTGTGTGTGTGTGTGTGTGTGGGTGTGTGTGTGGTGTGGTGTGTAAGCTTGTGTGTGTGTGTGTGTGTGTGTGTGTGTGTGTGTGTGTGTGTGTGTGTGTGTGTGTGTGTGTGTGTGTAAGCTTGTGTGTGTGTGTGTGGTGTGTGTGTGTGTGTATGTGTGTGTGTGTGTGTGTGTGTGTGTGTGTGTGTGTGTGTGTGTGTGTGTGTGTGTGTGTGTGTGTGTGTGTGTGTAAGCTTGTGTGTGTGTGTGTGTGTGTGTGTGTGTGTGTGTGGTGTGTGTGTGTGTGTGTGTGTGTGTGTGTGTGTGTGTGTGTGTGTTTGTGTGTGTGTTTGTTTGTTTGTGTGTGTGTGTGTGTGTGTGTGTGTGTGTGTGTGTGTGTGTGTGTGTGTGTGTGTGTGTGTGTGTGTGTTTGTAAGCTTGTGTGTGTGTTAACAGGAGGGACATTGTGAGGTTTGAAGTTCGTACTGTATCTCTCTTAACTTTTCTCCAGAGACTCTCACTTCTATTCCACCTCTTTCTGCAGCAGGTATCTCAATCTCCCTCTCAGGACTGGAACATTTTTCTCCCTCTCAAGACTGGAACATTTTTCTCCCTCTCAAGACTGGAACATTTTTCTCCCTCTCACTCCCCCCTGTAGCCTTTTCTTTTTCTCCCTGTCTGCTCCTCCTTTCTCCTCTCTGGTTGATTGGCTGTGTCGCTGTCTATTTGTTGTGTCCCCGGGGAGAAACTCAGCTTACACTTTATGCAAACATACATTCTGCAATCATTAGCAACATATTTCACACTTGCGCTGGGTTTCATTCTGTTAAATATGTGCTTTGGCTTTGGTAATGCTTGCTGCTGCCTCCCACTCTCAGGCCGACCCCCAGTTTCCCTCAAATGCTGAGACGAAATGATTTGCCTGTACGTGGCATCGTGAATAAATGCTGGAACATTTGAGCCACAGTTTATAGAGGATATCCTCTGCTTTGAATGAGACTGCTATAAAATGACACCATATCTTCTGCGGTTAGTGTACCACAGGAAGATTATGTTCAGCATTAATGACTCATTTTCAACAGTTTATTAATACATCAGCAGACAGAATAAGCGAGCAGGTTGAGCATTCGGATTTGGCTCGCTTGCAATGAGACAATGCACAGCTGTTGTTATATTAGCTACTTGTATTGGGCTGAAGTGTATCAACCATGTGAGTTATGAGGCAGTTATCTCCGACCATTAGGGCCCCCTGTTGCCAGCAGTCAATCTCTTGCAGTGTAGTCTCACTTGTTGACTGAATCTCAGTATCTCACTTTCCCATTGTCCCTCGTTCGTTTCTCTAGCGCTTACACTCTCTCTCTTATCTCTCCGGTTCTGACTCACTGATTGCAAAATTGAAAATGGTTTTAATTCCACCGGGTTTTTGAGTCTGATTTGCACTCACTCCAGCTCTTTTTTGTTCTTTTCTGAATTTAATTCAGTTCCTCAGACAAATCTGCTGACTGTCTCTGCTGCTGTGTGTTGTTGCAGGATGAGAAGTCCACGTTCTTCCAGTTCGGTGCCGCTCTGCAGCAAGAGGCTCTGCTCATGCTCTCCATCATGGAGGAGTATGACTGGCATGTATTTTCTATCGTCACTTCCAAGTTCCCCGGGTACCAGGATTTCATCAGCACACTGAAGATAACTGTGGATCACAGGTACATAATAAATACACTCCCCCACAAACACACACTCTCATCTCATCTTCAACCTTTATTTACGGCAGCTGACAGGATTAAGTACCGCGCATTATTTAATGGTGTTTTGTTGCAGCTTTGTACGCTGGGACCTGCAGAGTGTGGTGACTCTTGATGCTGTAGACGGTGACCCTAACTCTAAATCACACATTGCCCTCAAGAGGATCCAGAGTCCCGTTATACTGCTGTACTGCTCCAAGGATGAGGCTGTGTGAGTGTCTTTTATTTTTCTTCTGCTGTTCCTGTCTTCCTTTCTGTAGCAAATCTGTATTCATTATCTCACTCTGTTCCTTGACAGGTATATAATGGAGGAAGCTCGATCCTTGGGCCTGATAGGAGCCGGTTACATTTGGATTGTGTCCAGCCTCACCACTGGCAACCCAGACTTCACCCCCGAGGTAGTGAGGCCCCATGTGTAGTAACAGGTGGCCACTTTTGAGAGGTTTGACAAGAGCAGGGATATTGAATCCAGGCCGTTGCAGGTCATCTGCTGCCTCTCCTGTCATATTTGATCTCCTGTATTCTCTACAGGAAATATAAAATACAGAGTTAAATAGATATTGAAATTGCATACCAGCCTCTCTAAAGCTCAATTAGCAACACTTTATATCTTGTTTTGCTTAATCCTTTCTGTAGAAAAGACAATTTGTCGGGGTGCCCGACTTTCTTACAGTTTCTATTTGATCAAGCAAGACTCAAGGGCAGTTACTTCTCTCCACCAAGAAAGCCAGTACAAAACCTCTCGTTTTGACACTTTTTTTGTTCCGATTAAACCAATTAGATACAATATTTTAACAAAATGAGCTCTAAAGGTGCTGGAAAGCAGATGTAGGTACTTTCGGAGGCTAGCTGTTTCCCCATGTTTCTTTGTACCAGGCTAAGCTAACCATCTATTTGTCTTATTTTTTCCAGAAATGAACAAAGATTCCCCAACGAAACCATAAGCATGATCCTTACACATTATTGAGATAATTCATATTCACTGGGAACAAATAATTCCTATTGTATCAGATTTTTTGTTTACTGCTTTGTTTTTATTCATCTCTTTCTGAAAACATTTTCTCCGCTCCTTAATAGGATGTTTGCCAAGCGTTGCATACACATTCACTCCGAAACTGTAGGACAGCAAGGTAGCTATTATCTAAATAGGATAGTCTTATGTGTATAAATAATTCAAATTACAATCAGCTCAAATGTTCTCCTCACTTTCAAATTTGAAAAAATATCCAATATGTGCTTACATTTACTCGGAAGACTCTCAAATGTTTAATCTTCTATTTTCCTGGCCATCATTCTGAAGTCTCTTTTTTGGGATGTGAGGCCTCTGTCTTTCTTTAAGAAGAAGGACCGATTCACATTGGGATCGAAATTAAAATGTATAAACAAGAGTAGATGTCTAGTAGATTGACAGCCTAGCATGCTGGCATTTTTCTATTTGTACTCGTTCTGTTTGAGTAAAATGATATTAAGAAACTAAGTGAACCATTTTTTTCTCAAATGCTTAATTTTTCCTGTTTCAAGATGTAGGCCATACCTGAATGAGCAATTCAGTTTGTGGCTATTCACACCTTTCTCATAACCAGATGTGAATAATGCGAAACGGGCACACCAAACCAATAAATCAACTGGCTGACACCTTTAAGAGATACATATGGATGCTTAAAACAAATCTAATTGAATCTTTCACACAATATGTTCTCATCTGTCCTCTCAGATGTTTCCTCTGGGTATGATCTCCGTCTCCTACGATGACTGGGAGTACCCTCTGGACACGCGGGTGCGGGATGGCGTTAGCATCATTTCCACCGCAGCCACCGCCATGCTTCGGGAGAAAGGGGAGCTGCCAGAGGCCCAGGGCAGCTGCTACAGCACACCGTCAGACAGGAGCCCGGGGAAGCTGCCACCCAGTGCCCTGCGCAGGTGTGTGTGTGTGAGAGTGTGTGTGAGAGAGTGTGAAGAGCTCAAGGTCCAAGGGATTGCATAACACTGTTTGTTTTTGTCGAGTGTTGAACAGTGTTATATAAGTCTTTTAAATGTACTAATGAGAGGGGTAGAAGGGAAAGGAAAGCAGAGATGACAGTAGTGTTAAACACTGCGATGTCTTCTGTTCTGACATTTAACACTATTAGCTTGTGTACATGGTGTATGGGCTCACTCTGCTCCCCAGTCAAAAGACAATACATTGAACTACAGGCAAACCTCTGTGTTGTTGCTGCCCTGTGATAACTGGGGCCGAGTGCTGTATGTGTGTGTATTCGTGTGTGTTTCCGTGCGTGCACCTTACTTCACATGACTGGATTCACCGTCATTAAGTCAGGATTAAAGTCGCTTTTGCTAACTTTGTTCTCTGCCTTTTTCTGGTTATGTGGCTCTGTAGGTGGCATGAATTAGTATGTGTGTCTATGTGTGCACACACACACACACACACACACACACACACATATTCATACCAGAATGTGCTCTTCTCTGAAGTCTCTGTGATGAGGAAACAGTAAAATCCTTCAAACAAGATGTGGGGGACACACATGCTGGCACATTCATTCTGAAAATCCATGATTTAATAATGTGTTAGTGGCATTGCTGCCTTTCAGGGTTTTTTGTGCGACTTTGAATAGGAGGCATTCAGTGGCTAAAATATGAT